AAAAATCAAAAATATTATATCTAAATAATGTTGTCTAATTTATTTCTTTCACTTTTTAAAGTATTTTTTCGATATATCATTGATATAGCAAATCGATTTATCGGACTTACTTATGATGTAAAATAATGATAATTTATTTATTAAATTTTTTGGTCAAATATCGATAAATCAATATTTTTTTAAGATCCCTACCAAAAATAACAAGTCTAGGTTCGCTTTAAAGCACGATCGGGAAAGGATTTGCCTTAAATACTAGTAAAAGTTATTTAATTTATCTTAAATCTTTGATGTTATTTCTTATATTTATGTATATTCCATAGTTTTATGCACATATAAATTTAAGTATTGAGTAAATCCAAAAAACGACCACAAATTTCTCGCTGTTTATGTGTGTGTTAAGCATTTGGCCAAAAACATTTCCCAGACATTGATGTATTTGGGTCAGATGCTGGCGCTGTTGTCCTGGCCTAAACTTCCCCCAAAAAAGGAAACCCGGAAAAATGCCAAGGATATACGGATGTTTATATGTAGTTATGTATATGCTGGCCACGCCCGCTTTCCGGCTCATTAACATGGTGAAAATTTGCATAGTTAATTGCTTTTTAATTGTTGTGTTTGGAATTTTCAATTGCAGCCAAAATATTTATATATATAAACATTATTTTTCGAGGGTTCGGGTTCGGGTTCATTCCTTAAGCTTGGCACGTTTTATGGCTGGAAATTTCTTTATTTTGTGCGTGGGCTGTGCCCCATTAGGCAAATGGAGTTTGCAGCTTGGCTAATGAAGCATAGTTTTGAGATTTGCCACGCCCCCCTATAGCATTCGCCTCCCCCATCGCACTCAGACAGACTTCAATTAGCCGCCTGCCAGCAGCAATGGCAGAGTTTTTATTTTCGCTCGCCGTTTTGTTTTTAAGCATTTTTTCCCTGTTTTTTTTTTCTATTTCGTGGGTTGCCTTTTGCGGTCATTAAAACTAATGGCAGCTCAGTGGTACTGGTTGGCTTTAAAAATCCCCACACTTGCCCTCGGGCCGAATGAAGCGGGACCAACCGGATATATCATTTGACCAGAAAGCCAAACAAATAAGCTCTTACACACACACACACACAGAGAGTCAGGTCAAAACCGAAGGGAAACAAACAAAAAATATAGCAAAAAAAGGAGCCCAAAGTTTTGTTGGCTCGCATGCGGTCACAAAAGAGCAGTAAATTAAAATTTACTCGACATGAAATTGAAGCGGCACAGAGTCGTTGCCTGGCACCCTTTCCCATTTCCCCCATTTTCCCACATTTCCCACCATTTTTGACTGTGAAAATTCATTCATTTTTGGTGCACTTGCCTGTACGTGAGATGGTGTCCATGGGGCATCGCTGGGTATCCTTTTTCAGTCCGATTGTAAATGCATTTCACCAACTGAAATATCAAAGGAAAAAGCCATTAATAAATATTAATATATTCTTACCACAACAAATAAAAGTAACTGGACCATTAATTTCTGATAAGATTATTATATTATTACCTTAAATATTCACTAAATATCAAATTAGCGAAACTGTATAGGTATATTTTATAGAAAAGTTGATTTATAAATCCAATTTATGGTTGGTTAACCGATATTCTGTTTGATATATTGAAGAAAAGTAATCTGCAAAGACACAAGTAAATCAAATTAGAAAGCTTTTTTTATATATTTAATAATATCTATATAATAACCTCACATGTGATATATTTCTAAGTTTATTTCAAAAACACAATATTTTTGATATAATATAGATCTAATTTTTGTAGATGTACCATTTTATCCCTCGTAGCTTGTCATAGTTCATTTCCCCATTCGTTTTGATCCTTTCCCGGGAATTCGCAAGGATCGCCGCCTGCAATCCGGGACAGACCAGGACTTTGCTGACTGCACTTCATTTTGGTCCGTCTCCGGTTTGTTTTTCCGCCAGTTTGCCCTGCGGTGGCCTGTGCCCCGAAGGGTCTCGTATTTTACGTGGTCAAAGTTGTACGTTCCGGCGAACTACTGACATGCAAAGCAGATTTTGACCAAAAAAACAACAAAAAATAAAAGTCAGGGCCACTTTGCAGTCGACACGCGTGCAGAGATTAAATGGGTTACAAAAAATCGGCATAGCCTGCGGCAGTGGTCAGACACACAAAAAAAGAGCCAACTATTTTAAAGAGCTCCAATCAATTATCAAGTTGAGTCAGTCCACTGGTCGCTGTTACCACAATTTCCCGTTAAGCGACAATTTCCGCAGCGATTATTCAATGTCAACTAAAAAGTTACAAAAACCGTTCGAAAAACCAGCAAAAAGCAATTAAAAGCAGCTGCTGCCTGCACCACCCCGTTGCATGTTTATTTTATGTGGCAAAATATGTTTTCTTTTTCGGGGCGAAATATTTATGTAAGCTCTACTGCAGTTTATTTGTCAAGCCGGACGGACATGCAGATGTCGGAGGTCCTGCCGGAGGATTAGATGGATTTATCGCACTGTGACAAATATATATTGTGTAAATCATTTCGATGGCAACATTTTCAGGACCCTTTGCTGCTGTATACTGCAACGTGTAAAATTTATCGCAAGCTAAAATGAATTAAATATGTTCAGGGAGAAAAGAGGAGTGCGGATTATTGGCTTTGGCATGCAGTTTTTATTCAATTAAATGAGAAAATATATAAGAGTGTGGCAAAAGGTAAAAAATAAAGTTTTTACTGAACAATTAATTATTACAATTTAGGGTAAGCGAATTGTAATGCTTCTTCTGACTTTAAAGATCTTTTATCCGTAAGCACTTTTACAAATATGCTTTATACATATTTCTGCCATTTAAACTCAATTTATATTCGGTAAATACAATACAAATACGGTAAATACAATACAAATATATTTACTTCGATTTTAAAGGGTATAAACACCGCTTTAAGTTCACTTTGCTTCAGTAATGTTTGTAATTTGAGCTAGAAACAATAAAGGAAACTAACTTCAAGAAGCCCTTGCAGTTTGCAATTGAATTATGTTATCGAATAGGAAAATTGTCATAAAATATTGACATTATTTGAATCGATATTTATCGATATTTTTATATGACACTTTTTTCGTAAAATCCGCATCTTAAAAAACTCATAACTAAGTCAAAAATGCATTAATTTTAATTCAGAAAGCTTTAATATGCTAGTTTTTATTAGGTTGTAATATCTGCGTACTTTAAATTTACAATTTAAAGAAATTCCATTTTTTATCAATTTTTCAAAGTTTAAATTTCATAATTTTACACCTTTTAAAATGTCACAATTTTGAAAAAATTAAATTCTTGTCGAACATAGCTAAATCGACTCGGCTGTTGATGCTGATCAAGAATATATATGATTTATAGGGTCGGAAATGACTCCTTCTATGTTTTTGAAGCTTCTGAGTAAAATCTTTTGAGTTGATTTTCTTAATAGTTTTATATAAAATTTGTTCTACAAATCAAAGCCTAAAAACACATAACTAAGCCAAAACTTCATTAATTTTAATAAGGAAAGCTTTCCTATGCTAGTTTTTATTGGGTTAAAAAATCTGCATACTCAATTTACAATTTAAAGGAATTCCATGTTTTATCAATTTTTTAAAGTTCAAATTTCATAATTTTACACCTTTTAAAATGTCACAATTTTGAAAAAATTAAATTTTTGTCGAACATAGCTAAATCGACTCGGCTGTTGATGCTGATCAAGAATATATATGATTTATAGGGTCGGAAATGACTCCTTCTATGTTTTTGAAGCTTCTGAGTAAAATCTTTTGAGTTGATTTTCTTAATAGTTTTATATAAAATTTGTTCTACAAATCAAAGCCTAAAAACACATAACTAAGCCAAAAATGCATTAATTTTAATTCGGAAAGATTTCCTATGCTAGTTTATATTAGGTTGTAAAATCTGCATACTCAATTTAAAATTTAAGAAAAATTCAAATTTTTATCAATTTTTCCTAATTTAATATTCATAATTTTAACCTTATAAAATGTGAAAATTTTGAAAAAATTAAATTCTTCTCGGAGATAGCTAGATAATAACTTTTAACTTTTAACTTTTGTGACGATATTCAATATAATCCAATTTAACTCAGTTATCAATTTTAACCACTAAACCTAATTACACACCAAGCTTCAGAGTCCTCAGGTTTCATTCAAAGCCCTCCAAATAATATGAAAATTATGCCGATTTATTTTTTATATTTTTGCTATTTTGCAGTTCAACTCAAAAAAAAAAAAAAAAATTGATTGACTGGATTTTGCCGAGGGCATGGCTTAATTAGCTGCAACTCATCCACAGCTCTCGATAATGATGAATTAGCTTAGTCCCTGACCCGCTCCAGGGCTCCTCCTCCTGCTCAAAAGCTGTGGCCAAACAGCAGCAGCAGGAATTTGCTGGCAAATGAAATTTCCTCCATTTTACAGTCAAACTGCAGCAGCTTGTTGGAGTTAATTGAATTGTTGTTTCACTGGGGCCCTAGATATTGCCAGTGTACATATACACCATATATTAGTTATTGATTTCCCACAGGTTGCGATATGTGTTTAATGGCAATCAACTCAAAATGGGGCGAGAAACGGGAAATGCATTGAAAATGCTGAGCCCATGTTTCAATCAATTGGAAAACATGAAAGTTGGGGATGTAGCAAGGGGTTATGGGGTGTATATCAAGAGAAAAATATCGATATGATGTATTGATACAAATATTCAGCTTAAAATCATATCTAAAGGATGGTTAAATATCGACAAATATAAAATTTAATAGTAAAATATTAAAGTAATATCTCGCAATGTTCAATATTAATATCAGTTTTCGTTTAACTATAGATTTAGTATCAATATTTTCTGTAACCCCTAAAAGGGGACTCAAGATTGAAGAACATTATAATTTTCTTGTTCTGACGATTCGGACTCGAACGTTTTAAGAAACACAAAATTATGTATTACTGACTTTACAATAATATAAACTCAAATTAGCTACTTTTCAAACATTATTGACTTTATTCTACATATTTATTACATTTCAGAAGTTTTGAAAGATGTTTTTCGCAAGGAAAGGTCAGCATTTAAATTGTTTAAATTAATTGATAAGAGACCGTGCCAACGGTTTAGCACTGCCTCTTATTTAATTATAGATTTTATGGAAAATCGAACGGTATATTGAAAAAATAATGGAAAAAAGAAAAAAACCCAACTCACATGCAGTTGCCAGGAATATGCTTGCAGGACATAAAACAGGCTGAACGGCTTATGTGATATCGAAACATGCTGATGATAATATGGGATGCATTTCATGCAATTTACTGATTGCAAATCTCCTCCTGATCCTCGGCAGAACCAGCTGCCGATGCCTCTGAACTATCATCCTCGGTCTGCGTACCGGCCTCATCGGTGTACTCATCGGAGGAATCATTAAAGGCAGTCTCTACAGCGCCCACATATTCGTCGTCGTCGCTAGAGCTGTCGTAAAGCTGATCTTCGCCATCCAAATCGATGAGCAGGCGCCGCAAGTGGCGCAGTTCGTCGTGGGCGCGTGACACCTTGCGCTCCAAAGCCTTCATTTGGGCCTGCGAACGTGGGGGAACGTTATTTTTATTATTGTGCATTAACATATATGTATAGTTTTTCACATAATAAAACCCCATAGCAAACCTGTGGAATAAGTGGACATCCTAGGGCATGAAGAATGTACATCAGGGGATCCGCTGGCGGCGGATCCATTGCGACCAGTTGCTTCAATATATCCAGCAGCTTGGGCAAAATGCCCTTCTCCGTCAGATAGTCAATGTACTCAACTTCTTTTTCGGTCATATTGGGTGAATTTAACAGTGCAAATTAAAGAAAATTTAAAAAAAAACAGAGACTGAAAAAATTTTAATGCGAAAACTTTTTTGCCGGGAAATAACTGTAAACCCAGGGACGCTTTGAAGCCAGCCTCTGGCGGAAGATTTTTGCACTAGCGAAAACAGCGCCAAGTGAGACTGTTAACAGGTTAACAGTGTGCTGTTAAGCGCGGACTTCCCGGGTTTTTGCGCCAAATGGCGCTCTTAGTTCAATAATTGAAATTTGGGAATATATTTTCGTGTATAATAGACAATTTTCAATTAAAAATCCCTCTATTAGTTTTGGGTTCTCTCATCATTCTTCTCCTTATTCGAGGATGTATTTTAAATCCCAGTAAACGGTCACACTTTCAGTATTTTTTTTTCTGCAACAAACACTGTTTAAGTTTTGCCAGTGATGAGATAAGCTAGATTCTGAGAAAACAAAATTAATTAATGTAATGGATATATTATATAATATTATTGGATATTAATTAATGGTATTGGATATTTTAATTCAAATTTTTTGCAATTTGGAAATTAAAAACCGCTAGATCTGGTTATAAAATAGCTAAAGTCACGGAGTTAACTTACGTTCTCCTCTGAGGAAATTTTACTTAAATTTTACATTCCAATTGGAAATTTGACACCATGTATGAGAATTCTACTTCATGTATCTGCAAACGTGTAAAATGTTTAACTAAACACGTGAAATGTAAAATGTTAATTTTCAGGTAATGCTAGCCAGAAAATAGCAACTCTGGCTGGCACGACAAAAACAAATCTAGCAACAAATATAGTCAAAATTCGAAAGGGATAATTCAAGTTATATATAGCACCGACTTTCAAACGAAATGGAGAAGTTAAGCAAAGCCAAGAAGGTGGCGCGCGAGGAGAAGCAACGCGACCAGAAGCTGGAGGAGCTGGTAAGTTTTGGTCCAAGGAGAAATCCAAGAAAAGGAACCATCGCGAACCGGCGTTGCAATGGAAACGGCTATAAATAAATCGGGTTCTTATGGTTATTTTCCCCTTCCCCCCAGGTGCTCAAGTCCCTCGAGGAGTGCCCCTCCACCGAGGACAAGGTGAAGTTTCTGCTGCAGCGCCATGTGGACAGCGAGAAGAACGTGAGCCGGCTGACCTCGGATCTCCGCGTGCTGCAGCGTCAGATGGAGAGCCAGCAGCGGGAGAAGGAGCAGATGCAACGCGACCTCAACAAGAGCGTTCTCATGCGCGACAAGCTGCAGGAGGTGTGTCGCGAACAGCAGCGCATCATCAAGTCGGTGAAGAACGAGAGCCTGCTCCAGATCAAGGTCGAGGAGGAGCGCCGCAAGGAGAGCCAAACCAAGTTCCAGTCCTCTCTGAACGAGGTTCAGAAGTCGCTGGCCAAGAACAACGAGGAGAACATGAAGTTGCGCGATTACAACATCGAGATGACCAAAAAGTAAGAGGCAACCTCATGGCGCATGCCGCCGCCGCACGCCCCACTGCTGCTCCGTCTAAATATAGACACTGCATACATAGACACACACACACTCTGCTTTGCGATCTGCGGTAACCATCTGGCCTCCTCCCGTTTTAGGTTAAAGCTGCTGGCCGAACAGTACCAGACGCGAGAGCAGCATCTGGAGAAGCTCAACGAACAGGTGCAGCTCGAGTCGCAGCTGCACCAGGCCAAGCTCAGCAAGGCCCAGGTGGAGGCGGCCATGGAGAAGGAGATAATGAAGAAGTGAGTAAACAAAAATGATAAAAGACACTGCAACTAACATACTATTATCTTTAAGGGAGAACCAAATTGGCTTGGAGAAACTACTGCAGGCGCAGCGAGCCATAAAAGATCTCACCGAACGAGAGCACCAGCTCAAGGAGCAGCTGAACATTTACACGGCCAAGTACGATGACTTCCAGCAGTCGCTGCAGAAATCCAACGAGGTCTTCGGCAGCTACAAGCAGGAGCTGGAGAAGATGTCCAAGCACACAAAGAAGATCGAAAAGGAGGCACTGGGATGGCGTCAGAAGTATGAGAAGGCCAATGCCATGGTCATCGATCTGGCCACTGAGAAGCAGTTGCAAACCCAGCATTCGGATCGTTTGCAAAAACAAATCCAGCAGTTGCAGAAGCTACTCCGTGCTCTCCAGCAGGAGCGCACTGCCCTGCACAAGGTCCTCAGGGATAATGAGATGGAAATCCCAGCTCTTCCGCAATTGCCGCCCGAACCAGAGCCATTGGTCGTAAAGCCTGCTAGTGCGGATACGGCGAAAATGGAAATGATGACACGGAACTGCGCCGAACTCAAACAGACGCTGGCCAACCTGCAGAGCCAAATGAAACTGCTCACAACCACCGAATCGAAAGCAGCCACCGAGGAGAGGAACAAAGCTGCCGCCGCCGAGGAGCAGCGTCAGGCAAACAACGCCAAGAAGAACCGGCTGAAAAAGGAGAAGAAATCAAAGGCTAAGGCAGCAGCAGCAGCTGCTGCCGCTTCCTCTTCTACACCGAATGAGGAACTAAACGGAGTTCAGGATCCGATAGTCTCCGACTCGAATGCAGAAGTAGAAGCGGCTGGTGATGGACCCGGTGTGAAGAAGACTCAAGAGCAGACCATTCAGACTGTTCCACAAGAAAAGGAAACTATAGGCGATGCCGCTAAAGCCACCTCCTTTGATATAAACGAAGTGCCTGCCCTTATTGATGCCAATGCAGACTAAACTCTGCCGACTGTTCAATTGTACACCCATTCAGATTAGGGAAGGGTTCAAGCTTTCCCATTAATGCATTTCGTGTCATTCATGTCTCAACACAAAATGGTCAACAATTATAATCAACATGAGCATAATTTTGTACTAGTTATTTATTGTATTTTGTAAATTGTATTTATTTTATGGAATGTAAACGGTGATCGCGTGTTGCTGTTAAAACAAATTGAGTAAATCGTGTTTCCTGCAACAAAATAAGATTATATGTTTTTCTTAATGGGGCTATAATTTTAATTAAGATTAAGATTTGATTTCTCTCGATATATGTACGGATTCTTATGTTTAAATGTTTGTATGTTCCGTATAATCTATTATCCCTTTTCTTCTATATCTATATCTTCTAACTATCTTGTAGTTTCAAAGATGCAGATCCTCTCTTTTCCTACCTTTCTTAAGTTTGTTACACACTCTCTTACATTTGTGCACTTTACAGCACAACTTGTTTGAAGTTCTTAAGATATGTTCAAGTGTAAAAGTGACCGACATTCCGTAGCCGTGTTTCTATGGCCAGCGGCAGCGGTGTGGGTCCTCGAGAAATCGCATAAGCTTGATGGCCGTGAGTTGCTTTCGTCACGGCGGTTGATGCCGCCGCAGTGTCTGGCGTTGCATGCAACACATTGCAATGGAATCGGGCCGAGTGGGTGGGAGTGGTGGTGGTGCTGCTGAGTGGTAGTGGTTCGTGGTCAGGGTCGTTATAATTGCGCCTTAATTATTTTCAACACGCAGCTGTTATTTTTGCCGGGCCCCAGATTTCCGAAATAAAATATTCAAGACACATGCAACGTGGCGTATGCGTAATGCCAACAGTTGGCAGCGGTCACTTGGTGTATGTCCCTGTGTGTGCTCGTGTGTGTGTGGTTGAGGGTGTTGAAATAAAGCCATTTAAGCCACTAAGATAATTACTGAAATTAATTTAAATTGCATAAAGAGTTGCATATGAAAAAGGGGCCAGTAATGAGAGTCGCCAAGGTCCCAGCGGATAGCTATCCCCTCATTTTCCAGGATTCCGTAATTATGCCTCGTTGAGAGCTCTGAAGGAAGCCAAAGTAATTTCAAAATTTAATTAAAAATATTCAAGCTGGGTAACGAATTAAGAATAATATTTATATGAAACTTTTGCCCTGAAATCCCAGAGCCTGATGGCCCATTAAGCGGTATTAAAAGTGTCTTCGCCAGAACCCCCAAAAGTGTCGGGGCAACAACAACGACAACGACAACGACACTTGTGCATATTTCACACCCTTACACACACACACACACACACACCCTCCACATACAAGAATGTGTGCACATTTCACAGGCAATGAGCTTTTGAACATTTAATGAGTTAATACGCTAAATTTGAAAGCCGCGCAAGCGTGCGCCAAGTGCTCCTAACACTTGTCCTCCTCAGCGGGCCAAGTTGCCCATTTGCAAACTTGAAAAATGAGAATGGGAAAGCCAGGAAGTCGGATTTCACGCAAAAAAATAAATTAATAAAATAAATTAAAGAAACTAGAGATATATTGGTGATATACTTGGTTTCTCTATAAAGAAAAGCACACGTTTTTAGGGAAACAGTTGGATAAATATGTTATTGAAACGTTAGCTACATAAATCAATGAATACTTTCAATTTTTAAGTTTTCAGCTAAGAAACCTAAGAAATAATTATAAAAATGTATTGAAGTACCCATTTTTTCAAGTTATAAATAACTAATATTAAGTTTAGGATATTCTTTTCTTCAAATTTCAGTTATTAATCCCATTATTTTTTCCAGTGCACTCGCACACTCATGCCCATGCAAAACACTAAGCACTTGTCATTTGGGCTGTAAAACCTTCCCCGTCCGTTCGTTGGTGAAAAACACTGCAAATGTCCAACACACGAGCATATGCGAAATAGCAGCAAACGAAGGCGTCAGCTTCCGGGAGAAGGGGAATCGGGTGGCGCGTGAAGGGGCATCGTTTTCATCCCAAACTCATGGGTGTCATTGCTCACAGGACCTGGTGCTCTCAGTCTCAGCCTGCAGGATAACAGTGGTGTAACATCAGAGTCATTTGGGAAACAGAAATGTTAAGGCTGCCAGACTGCTTGACTCTGTGTGTTAAAGGACAACGACAACGACAACGACCACGACGAGGACGACAACGAGGAACACCATGGCGATGGGAGAGAGCGCAATGTGTGGCAATATTTTTGACAGCCAATTGTGCGGGTTGAGCAAGATGAATGGGCGATAACGGCACAGTGGGACTTAAATAATTAAGGAGACTATGCAATTATTAAGAATAATTAAGTTTTTAATTCGAAAAAGTGAAGTTCAGATATTTTGGAAGCTTAGAATTAGATGATTAGGTTAAAAATATCAAAGGATTTATACTGGGGATATATATCATTAGAAAAAGTCCGGCAAGATCGAAATAAAATATCTATTTCGAAACGTTCGAATTTGAAATTATATGAAAATTTACACTAGTAATATCGGTATAGAATCGGTATATTGATATTTTCTTCCTTTCATATTTATGCAACATTTTATTTAGGGATTTCATTATTTATATATTTTAAATAATTTAAAAATTAAAAAATGTAAAATTTAATAATTTAAAAAGTTAAATTAAAGATTTTTCGTTGTATTTTTGGTACATTGTTCTTTCAGAAACGTTTTAATCAGTAGTTTTTTACAAAGCAGCAGTTTTATTATGTTAAATTATAAATGTGGCTAAAGAAAATAGTAAAAATACAAATGGTCGCGAGGGACAACAATATTTTTTTAAACTTAGCTTGTTGTCCAACGTTTATTGCTTATTTGAAATCATAAATTGTTCTAAGGGTTTTTCCTATAAACAAATGCTTCCAAATATCACTCATACGCCATGTACTCCCTTTGAAAAACAACTTCGTTCGTTTTCCCGATTAGTTTTTCCACTGTAACCACCGAGGAGCGTGTCCACCCGCACACCCAAGCGTGTGTGTGTGTGTGCGCACCCACTCGCGGCTCCAGCTGCTGCCGTCGTCCTCCGCTGGTTCTCTCGCCTTCCGTTCTCTCTCTCCGGCGGCACTCCGATACACTCTCTCCGTCCGGATGCGTGTGGTGAGAGCATTCGGCGGCGACGGAGCCTGCGAAGACTTCTTTTGGCCAAAGCTGTGCTTAGTCGAATTTCGGTAACAGAAGCCACAGCGATAGCGGGATATTTTCCGACAAAGCCGAAGCAGGAGCCAGCCGAAAGGAAGGAAACCCGAAGCCGTGCTGCTGCTGCTGCTGGCAAACAATTTCCACTTCCATTTTCGCAGTCCTGTAATCAGTTGTGTATAGGACACTGGCGTGCGCGCGTCGAACGGTTTCTGGCATTATTGTATTGTGTGTGTGAGTGTGTGAAAAGTTTTTGGGGGAAAGCGCTGCGCGGTTTTGGCTGCTCCCCGAGTTTTTTTCGTGCCTAAATTCTAAATGGTAGCGATTGTTGCTGCTCTGTCTGCCACGAGAAAATTGAAAATAAATTCATAATTTTATCGAATAAAAATTGTCCCAAAAAAAAAAGAAAACACATTTTTGGTTAGCCGAAAAGGCAGCCAAACAAGTTGGAGGAAATTTTCCAGCTACAGCTGCTGCCGCTGCCAGCGTCGCTGTCGCAGTCGCAGCGCTGCCGCTGTGTCCGAGATAAAGGATATGCCCGGATCTAAAAGATACAGTTTTTCTTCGCTTTTTCGCAGGCTGCTTGGCATTTTCCACAGCGGCAACAACAATCGCTAACCAAAAGAAGAATTCACCCCTCCCCCCAACCCCCCTCCCTGCCAGCCGAAAAATATAAGAAAATGAAACATAAAGCCAGTGAGTGCCAAGAATGCAAATAAATATATAAATGAATAAGGCCCTGAGAAATCATTAACAAATTAAAACGAAACACGCAAGGGGAGAAGGGGGCCCCGAAAGGCAGGCAAGGCATCAAATAATAAGGACGAAAAGTAGCCCAGAGTCAAGTGTTTCACGAGGAGCTGTGTTTGCGTTGGCATGCTTTGAGGTTAATACCACCCGTCACCCAGTCCTGTTCCCTCCGCTCCGCTCCTGCTCCTGCTCCTGCTCCTTCAGCTGCCGCTCATCTCTGCCGCCGCTGCCACTGCCGTCACCATCAAAAGGCATCGAAGGTAAATATATGTCTGCATGTACGAGTGTGTTTTGTGTGTTTGTGTATATATGTACATATATATACAGCAAACAAACTAACCTACAAAGTAAACAAAAACGTAACGTTACAAATGCAAATTTTTCGCATTCACACACACACACATTCTCGAGAACTATAAACAACAACTCATTTAACTGACGCCATGCTACATAAAAAAAAATAAAAACAAAAGAAAACAATGGGAAAAACAACAAAGCTCAAGACTAGAACATAGAAAGGTGGAAAGCCAAACGCACGCTTCTAAAGCAATTTGTATAAAATTTTAATCGCATGCGATTTATTTGACTAGGCGCCAAAGTCGCACACACACACACACAACAACAACGCATTTTTGCACGCACACACGAGCTAACGCCAACGCACACACACAAACACACACGTTCACCTGGAAAATGGCAAAAGGAAAGCCGCAGCCAGTCTCGACAATCTGTTTATTATTCGCGAAATTATTATGGAAATTATGCACGCATCGCCATTCGAAATTTTATGTTTGCGTCTAGGTGCCAGAATATAACTAAAATTGATTGCATTAAAAGTTATATTTAATATCAAGAGAGAGAATACGATTTTTACACTTGAAATTAATACAAGTGATTATCAGGTCATGAAAAGGGAAATATAATGGTAGCGTAAATAGCATAAAAAGGGATTGTAAAGTTATTGCTTCTTTTTTAACTGAATTTCAGTACACTTTCAAATAAAAAACAATCACAACTAATAAAAGAAATGAAAATCCTTAACTAAAATTAGGAATTTTAGGAAAAAGAGATATTACAGTATTATTTACACTTAAAAGACATTTTGTGGAGCATCATGAAATTAAAATAATAAAGATCTGGGCTTAATCAGAACCTAAGGAACATAATGAGTAATTATCCTGTTATTTTGAATCGAATTTCATTAATGTTTGCAAGAAATATTAATAAATAATTGTATATATACAATATAAAATTTATAAAAATCAACAAAATATCATTTTTGGTATTTATTATCAAGAGATAAAATAGGATTTCACAAAATTGCCTGAGTTTTATTCAATTATTATCAAAAAAACCCACTTTTTATACATTTAAACTAATAAATTCCGGTTTGACGTTAAAAATCCAATTATTAAGCTCAAATTTCCATGCGATTTAATCCCTGTGAAGCATTTAACGCAAAACAAAAAACAAAGTAAAGTGTTTGTGTGCAACAATTGATAAACACAACAACAGGAATATCGTGCAGTCTGGCCATAAGCAAAATGCCAATTCCATTTAGATGCACAAGCCGATTATAAAAGTCAACTTATGCTTGAATAGTTTGTTGGGAACTCATCGATTTAAGGTTATAAATCGGTTGGGAGTAGAACATAAATGGGAGATGGCATTAACATTTACAAGAGTCCTTCAGAAAGTTAAAGATATCAAAATTGAAATAGGGATCTATAAATGTTAAATTTGCAAGCTAAACATGGTTTAGATATATAAATAAGTACATAACTGTTGAAAATCAATAGAATATATTGTTTATAGAATTTATTTCAACTAAGATCCTTGCAAAAATATCAAATTAAATGATTTTTTCTTTTTTATTATATAGCTTTTCTCTTTTTAAATGTATTTTTTTTGTCAACGATGATCCATTTTAAATATATGAAAATTCAATTAATTCAGACCAAAATGTTTATATCAAACATATACCTTTTAAATAAAAATAATTTCTGCCATAAATACCATCTTTTGCAACCATTTAACCCATCTTAAAATAACACTGAATTTCACCTCTTGACTGCAGGACAACATTTATTTGACCCAAGTAAATTCAACCTATTATCTATTTATATAATCCTCAAAGCTATTTTCTCAACTATTTTAAGTGCTGGCTGCTAAACAAGGTCTGAGCCTGCTGCACAATGAAATGAACTTGACTGAGGGGGGGCGATGCTGGATGGAAAGCACTTAGCGCGCAACTAAGCGACAATTGCTGTTTTGTGCCTGTTGTTTTGTGTGTGGCGTTTAAAAATAGCATCAAGGTGCGCTCTAGTTTCATTCACACACAAACACACACCTTCACCCTCCCACACACACAACACACCTCCCATAGAGGCTACACAAAAGTGGCTGCTGTTGTTTTTTGCAAGTGGGCGAATGACTAAAAAGGGAATCCTTGCGCCGCGTTGTATGCAACACGAAACTGCAAATAGAAAATGTATAAATAAAATCCGCAGAATCCAAACGCTCTTGGACGTGAGAGAGTTAAGTGTGACAATTATTAATACAGAAAGGAAATGGCACATGAAAATGTATGTCTATTGTTCATTTGATAAAGAGACTTTGTCGAGGATATTTTATAAATAAACTGCATTCTTTGCAAGGTCCTACTAACAAGGTTTTTAAAGCTGCAAAAAAGGGATAAGTTAAATACACTTATTTTGCATTTTGAGTTTCTAAAATCAATCGTTAATGAACGTAAAATTGTTTTACGTCTTTCTTAAAAGGCTTCAGGAACAGAACTCTGAGCAAATAACATAATTTTCCCTATTAATAAAGTTAATAAAAGTCTTCCTTTTTTATATATCCTGTTATATAGAATCCTTTTCATCTTCGTATTCCCTAAACTATATCTCCCCACAATTATTTAGCAGAATAAGGTCAGAGGACCTCTCCTCAACCTTGGTCGAAAAGAAATGAAAATACTCTAACAGAAAGTTCATGACACGCGAACTAATACGAAATGCCAACCGCAGCTGTGCTGAGGTGCAAAATGATTCAACGCTTTTTTTCGGCTATAAAAATTGCCTAATCACTTAAGGTGTTAGGTGCGTGGTGGGCTATCAAATGACACCGGTAATTACAGGCCCCATCGAATGGATATTGTCTTGGCCTAAGTGAGTAATGAGCAGCGGGCGTGACTATCGCTGTCCACCGTTTGAATAATTAAGACTGGTCAAACGAGCGCTGACTCTCACACCTGAAAAACATTCAGGACAGGTGATCAAACGTTTCAAATAACCAAAGAAAATGATGACTTCGTTGGACTCAGAGTTAGGTTTCTCTTAAATGGTAAACCATTTAAATGGATTTAAAGATGTATCTATAAACAGTTTTTCCTATGTCCTGGCTGTCACCACAATCCCAGCATGAACATCAATTTGCCAGCATTTGGCGACCATTAATGGTCAACATATCGTAGAGGAAAAAAAACGACTACAACATGGCTATTCCTTTTCCCATGGTTAAGGCCATAAAACATGCGACTACATATGCAACAGCTAGGGGAAAAAAGTAAAACGTTTAACTTTGAAACAACAACAAACTTGAAATTTATATAGCCAACCGCCGCCAGATGTGTCTATAAAACTTTGCACACATTCATACCATTTATACCATATATCGAGTATATGTTGCGGAGGTTTTTCTTTTATATTTTTTTATCGCCAGCTGATAAGAGCAAAGTTTGTCCGAAAGTTGGCGCCTCCCAACGTAACACGCATACGCCATGTGTTACAAATATCCAAAGAAACGAAAGAGCGTGAGTGAGAGTGAGAAAATGAAATGGAATAAAAGTACCTACCTACCATTTCAGAAAAGTTAAATATCTTGGCTGTCGAGGACAAGGATTTTGGTAACATTTTTTAATTGCCCCTCGGAGTGAGATGAGGAGAAATCCACATCTACAAGCAATCGTATGTTGGCAACATGCAATTAACAAGCCAAGTCCAGCTCTCAGATGAGGAACACAGAAAAAAATTTAGACTTGGTATTGTGATTGGTATTGTGATAATATTTAGTAAGATACTTTTTTAAATTAATTAATTGCTAAAAGAAAAGATTTAAAATTTGGAATATATTCTTACATTTTCATAAAAGTTAAAGACCTTCTTTTAGCTGAGAAAATTTATGAACTATTTTTTAATCATTAAAGAGAACTCTTCTGGCTTAGTGCCCAAATCCGATATCCCTTGACACCCATCCTCTATGGCTTTTGCCGCCTCCGATTTCCCATATTTCAGATCAATTTCCCATTTTTCAAGATAGTGTCATATGCCCCAGATCTTGGCATGTACCAACTGAAAAGACCAAGTTGAAAATGTGGCAATCTATGTTCAGCCACCCACGCACAGCACTTACAAGCATTAATTACTGTGTCGGGCCTGCCAAGTCAGCAGCAGCGGCAACGAGCTCCGAAAGTTGAAGGACCAACAGTGGCAGGAGGCGATTTTCCCCAAAAAAATATTGCATACTTTTCGGAATGGATTTTTTTTCCCCCAATTTGGTCCTTTAGCCCGCGCCGTTGCTCTCGTTCTCTGACAAGTTGTATGAGTTGCGAGAGTTGAATGTTTCTTTTTATTGCCATTGCCATTTGCCTTTGTTGTTGGTATTGTTTCCTTGCTCGCCTCTGCTTTTGTTTTTGTGTTTTTGCACAAATTTTGGTATTATTTGGTCTGTTTATTGTTCTTGTAGATGTTCATGTTCATTGTGAACATAAAAGTAAGCCAAGCAAAAACAAATGTTGGACCAAAAATAAAAAAGTTAGTTTTATAGTTGATTTTTCGCAGAAGAGACTTAAGTTTGAGGAAAGCAAATACTCAAATATTTAATTAGTTTTTAAGTGGGATAGGAAAACTTGTAGTTCGCAAGGCTTAAGATTAACATAAACATATATTTATGATTTAAGAAAGAAGGGGAAAGTTATGGACACACTCTCAACTAGGAATGTATATTAACGTGGAGATGACGAAGTTTTTAAATCATTGCAGTTTGCAATTAAAATGTAGAATCGAATCGGCAATCGATACTAACTAAGCGTAAAATATTAAAATTGAGTAAATTCCTATTCTTATAAGTACGAAAATTTTATGCACAATTCAAAGCTTAAAAATTCATAAATTAACCAAAAATGCATTAATTTTAATTTGGAAAGCTGTCCTATGTTACTTTTAATTAGGTTAATAAATCTGTTTACTGTAATTAACAT